TGAAAGAAAGAAATTTCTGCATTTTTGTTCAGAGAATCGTTTGGCAGGTTTGAAATCAGCGTTATGCGGCGCATCTAGTGGTATGCCTCTTATTTTGAAAGGCCACCTTCACTAAGATTTCCTTCCTTGTGAGAAGGATAAACTGAATATCATTGCTTTACCGTGCGAACTGGTTCTAGAAATAATGAGAAAAGTAATGACTTTCGTGACAAGGATGTTGATCAGTCCCAGAGACCACATCAGGTAGATCACTGGTTGATCCTACGGCATATACATGGTAACTTCACTACAGTTCTATCGAAAGATGGAACATAATTTTCATAAGCAAATTATAAAGTAATAGACAAGCTTTCTAGTATAGCCAATTACTCTATTACGCAACATCGCAGTGAATTCCGCATTCTTCACATTCTAGAGAAATTCCGCTGCCAGGTAGCTTTTTTCGGTTCTTTAAAAATACAACTTCAATCACTCTAACTTATCAAGGCACAAATTTCTGAACAATTCAAGTATATGACTTTGTAGAAAGGAACTTTAGTTTTCAAATGAGATGTAATTGCCAAAACTTTCGGCCCTTTCGAATTTTTGAGCATTAAGAAAACGGCACGAAATATTCGACAGTCAATAAGGATGCCTACTTGCTCTGTTATATTGTCTTATTCACAACCTGGGAAAATAGAACAATAGAGCGCTAAACCACCCTGCTTCGAAAAACAATAATTAGAGTCCATTGCTCGCAGATCGGTAACAAAAGTCTATATAGAGTTGTTTTTGACATACAAATTAAAAACTGTCTTTTCCAGGCAGAAAGAGTGTCTGCAATTTTTGAGGTCACCTCTTTGTACCTCAAAAAGCTAATATTATGACCAAATATGATGTGCTTTTTTTGATAAAGAAATTAATAATATGAATTAGCAAGTATTTAATATTGGATAGTTAGAAAATTTAGTATTTTTTGTAACTTTATTTTATCCATCGTCCCTTCTGATTTGATTTCGTTTTAGACAAAGAGCTGAGTAATGGAATGTCGAACTGATAAAAAGTAGC